AACGACCGGTGCCTGGACGTATTATGACCAAAATTTCCTATTCGCCGGAGGTATGACGCGATCAGTCTAGAAGAAACCGACGAATCCGACTACGTTCCGACTTCTCCTGGGACGACGATCTCATGCCAATCGGCAACATTCGGATCAGCCAGAATAAGCGATTAGCCAAAATGAGGCCCAGTCAGAAACCTCGACCCAGCTGCAGGGCGCGAAACATAAAGACACAGCGTTCGCCTCCCAACCGGCCCCCAGATGTCAGAACCCTTCGGCAACAACCTCCCTCTTACCGATCCCAACATTCACCTCTTCCTTCAGAAAGTCAATTTGATCGAGGAAGAACATAACCAGATCCGGATACCAACCTGGGAAAAGGTACAGCCAGGACCGTTCACTAGTCGAATCCGAATCTACCGACATGAAAAGGAGGTCCAGGCACTCTGAATCTCATTCTACAAGATCCTGTGACACACATTCATACATTCCAGTCGGCCCTGGGTTGCAAAGGACTCAATGACGAAGGCCAGTGCCTATTATTTTCGTCCACCTTAGCCGGAGCGGCCTTGAATTGGTTTTACTGACTAGAGCCATGTACGGTAGACTCTTTTGATCAATTAAAACAAATCTTCCTCAATCATTTTATGATACAGACTGATCGCCTTTACTCCGCAGACGACCTTTACACCATTTGGCAAGGAGACAACGAGCCTCTTTGAGAATATGCTGCCATATTCAGCCATGAATACTCTCGATGCCTGACCACCTACGACCGAGCAGCCTTCGGCGCTTTCAAAAGCGGCCTCCGAACATCTCAATTTTGCTATCTAGTCCACAGCATCAATTGGACAACCTATAGCGAACTGATGAAACAGACAACCATTCACGCCAAGGCAAAGCACTTCAACTCCAAAGGAGTCCATTCGGCAGCTCCCGGCTAGACACCGAACGTAGGTCAAGCCCCAGCACCAGCCTACGACCGATTCCCGCCACACCAAATCACGAATCAAACTCCCTACCGAACGGCACCTGCCGTGTCAGCCCTTTACACAGCAGGAGACAAGAGAAGGGACAGATTTTAGGGTCAGCAAGACGGAGGCAAACGCAATAAGGAGCCAAGTGGCCTAGTCGATTTCCAAAGCCCAAAAAGGGCCCGACTAGAGGAAGTTTTTACTGCGCTCAACTCAACTTACGAAAATGTCCTCATAGCCGAAAATCAGATAATTCCGAAGCCCAGCAACCGGAAGCTCCCTCGACAAGTCGACAAAGATACGAGAGTGTTCTACCGATACCACCAGTACAATGGCCATGATACCGAATCATGCATCGCCCTCCAAAAAATTGTTGAAAAACTAATCAGCGAAGGCAAGCTAGACAAGTATCTGAGTGCACACCCGGCTCTCGAACACCCGAGCAATCGCCATATCAACATGATCAATGGCGGTACACCGATTACCGATTCTAGCAATCGGTCCGTCAAAAATTATGTGCGTGCTGTTCGGCATTCTCAGGTCCTCAGTATCACTAAAGGGCGCAGCAGCAAAATCCGACGACTCGGGTGGGAGCCCATCACCTTTTCTGAGGAAGAAGAAAAATGCATCATCTTCCCCCATACTGACCTCATGATCATTTGGGCAAACATTGCCGATTTTAACGTAGGCTGAATCCTCATCGACACTGGAAGTTCGGTCAACGTACTCTTTGTCGATGCTTTCACAGGCCTCGGAATCGAACGCCAAAGCCTCAACAAGGACATCACCTCCATTTTAAGCTTCTCGGGCAATGTGGTGGAGCCAATCAGAAGCATTCAACTTCCCCTCGCCATCGGTACCAGCCCTAGAAGGACGTTCATCTACACTCACTTCTTGGTGGTCGACTGTCTAACAACTTATAATGCCATCATCGGCAAACCCGCCCTCACCCGAATGAATGCAATTTTATCGCCTCATATGCTGCTGGTCAAATTCCCAACGCACTCTAGGGTCGGCTAAATACGAGGAGACCAATTGAGCACGCGGGTATGTTATGTGTCGTCCACACGAGAATCGGCAACCCGAGTATCGGAGCGGAAGGCACTAGAGTCACTAGTAGTTTCCACGATGACCATGCCGAACAACAAGGAAGGGTCAGCGCATCCCGACAACCCTCAGGAAGAGGGCGTAATGCCGCAAGCTCAACCTATCGAGGAGCTAGAAACGATACCCATCTCCGACACATAGGACCGGATGGTTCGGATTGGCACTTCCCTCTGAGGGCCAACTCGGAAGTTTTTGCCTGGTCCTACAACGACATGCCTAGCATCTCCCTGGATGTCATCTGCCACAAGCTCAGCATCTCCCTTTCTGTCAAACCGGTTCGACAGAAGCGACGATCATACGATGCCGAATGGTACGAAGCAATGAAGCACGAGGTGGACAAGCTGCAGGCAATCAGCTTCATCCGTAAGGTAGCCTACCCTATCTGGCTTGCTAATTCGGTTTTAGTAAAGAAACCTGGTGGAGCCTAGCGAATGTGCCAGGATTATACAAATTTGAATAAATCGTGCCCAAAGGATAGCTTTCCGCTTCCAAGAATCGACCAACTGGTGGACACCATGGCCGGCCACGAGCTTCTCAACTTTATGGATGCCTATTCCGGCTACAACCAGATCTTCATGCATCCGGCAGATCGTGAACATACGACATTCATCACAGATAGGAGCCTCTACTGCTACAACGTCATGCCGTTCGGCCTGAAGAATGCAGGGGCAACATATCAACGCCTGGTCAACAAAATCTTTGCCGAACTCATTGGCATTTAGATGGAAGCCTATGTTGATAACATGCTAGTCAAGAGCAAGACTGCTAACGACCATCTTCAGAATCTCTCCCTCATGTTTGGCACCCTGAAAAAGTACAATATGCACTTGAACCCAAGCAAATGCGCATTCGGCGTCTCTTCCGGCAAATTCTTGGGCTTCATGATAAGCCAGCAGGGCATTAAAGCTAACCCTGAGAAAATCCAGGCGTTATTAGATATGCATGTGCCGA